TTATTTATCAGTTTAAAATTTGAACGGTTTTCAGAAAATAAAGTTTTCACGGTAGCATCCCGATCAGTTTTCGCAATAATAAGTATTTTATTTAGTTATTCAGAAAATTTGCGAAAAACCCGCGCACTCTGATGTATTACAAATAGCGGGGTGTTACAGCTTGGTATCAGAGCGCACTTTTTTGCGTCTCTGAAAAGTTTTTCAGTCAAAAATTTTCATAAAAACCTGAACCGTCACGCTCACGCCTCGCCGACACCAGGTAAGTGCTGATTCATTTTTTCAGTTATAAACATATTACTTTGTCTATGCTCAGAAATCAGTAATCAGACTTAGTTAAGATGCTCAAATCAGATTCGGACTTTAGAGTTCAGATATAACTCTAGAATTCAGGGCATTCAGTATGTTCAGTATGACTCTAGACTTTAGTATCTTTCAAGATGACTCTAGAGTTCCTCAGGATTCATGTCAGCAATTATCAGCCATTTTGGCTACTCGTCAAGAGATTTGTGTGCCTTAGAAATCAGTCAGAATATCATCATGTGTTCAATAATTTCGAACTTTTTCAATATTCAGATGGCACCAACTCAGGCTACAGTGGTCGCCCAGTTCCGCGACTATCACGCCGAGAAGTTCTCAGGGCAGGGGGATCCTCGCATAGTTGACGAGTGGATTCAGGGCCTGGAGTTTATCTTCGAGGTCATGGAGTGCCCTGAGAGATACCGCGTCATTTGCGCTCAGCTTCAGCTCACCGGAGATGCCAGGCTCTGGTGGAACGCTTACTGGGGCTTGCGTCCCGGTGAGAAGGCGGGATGTACGTGGGAGATGCTCAAGGAGCTAGTCCGGGATAAGTACTATCCCACCTACTACCGAGCAGAGATGGAGCGCCAGTTTCTATCGCTCCAGCAGGGTACTCGCACTGTCGACGAGTACGAGAGGGAGATCACGAGACTTGCAGCTTTTGTTCCCGATCTGGTCCGTACGGAGGCCCAGCGAGCGCAGCGTTTCATTGACGGGCTTTACCCAGCAGTCCGTCATAACATCGTCGGCCACGGGACGCAGACATATGCTCGTGCAGTCTCCATTGCTCAGGAGATGGATGCCAGCCTTAGGAGGGAGACCGTTCGAGGTCAGTCGTCCTCAGTTCCACTTTTGTTAGCCCCACCAACTCATCCGCCCAAGAAGAGGAAGGATAAGGGTGCCTAGACAGATAAGAGGGCTCGACGGAGGCTCCAGCAGGTTCCACAGTGCCCATCATGCGGACGACATCACCGAGGCGAGTGTCGCTTTGGTCAGGATGTGTGCTACTATTGCCATGAGGCCGGACACTTCGCGAACCGTTGTTCGAAGAAGGCTCAGCAGGCTCAGCAGCCTCAGCAGCCTCAGCAGCCACCGCAGCAGCAGCAGCCCCGTCAGCAGGCATAGAGGCAGCCTCAGCAGCAGCAGCAGAGGGGTAGACAGCAGGCCAGAGTCTACGCCATTGATCAGGCAGAGGCCGAGCAGCAGCCAGGTACCATGTCCGGAATGGTTATTCTTAATAATGTTCCTGTGTTTGCTTTGTTTGATACTGGAGCGACACACACTTTCATTTCTCGACGATGTCTTGACGCCATCGGAGTTCGAGCAACTGCCGCTATCGATCCTCTCAAGGTGAGTTTGGCCTCGGGGCGAAAGATAGTGACCTCAGCTAAAGCCTCAGATCTTAGCCTTTCCATCGGTGGCCGAGTTTTGCCTACCGACGCGTTTGTTCTCGAGATGAAGTACTTCGACCTTATTCTCGGAATGGATTGGCTATCCTTCTATCATGCAGATATCAAGTGTCATGACCGGGAGATTACTCTTTATCTTCCGAGAGATGAGTCGATTACTTTTTTCGGCTCCAGCAATCGTTCTTTGCCTCAGGTTGTTTCTATGGCGAAAGCCACTAAGTTGCTGAGACGAGGCAGCCACCAGGGTTATCTGGTTAGCCTTGTTGATGATTCTCAGATAGCACGTTCACCTCATGATGTTCCAGTCGTTCGAGAGTTTGTGGACGTATTTCCAGATGAGCTTCCAGGAGGACCGCCTAATCGACAGGTGGAGTTCACTATAGATCTTATTCCAGGGGCCGGTCCAGTGTCCAAAGCCCCGTATCGTATGGCGCCTAAGGAGTTGCAGGAGCTTAAGGAGCAGATTCAGGAGCTGTTACGACTCGGTTTCATCCGACCGATTGTGTCACCTTGGGGAGCACCCGTTCTCTTTGTTAAGAAGAAGGACGGATCCATGCGCATGTGTATCGACTACCGGGATCTTAACCGGTTGACGATCAAGAACAAGTATCCGCTTCCCAGGATCGATGACTTATTTGATCAGCTGAGGGGAGCCTGTGTGTTCTCGAAGATTGATTTGCGATCAGGCTATCATCAGCTGAAGATCAAGGAGTCAGATATCGCTAAGACCGCTTTCAGGACTCGTTACGGCCATTACGAGTTCGTAGTCATGCCATTCGGTCTCAGCAATGCGCCAGCAGTTTTCATGGATCTCATGAACCGTATCTTCCATTCCTACCTCGATCAGTTTGTTATTGTCTTTATCGACGATATCCTTATCTACTCGAAGAGTCAGAAGGAGCACGAGGAGCATCTGAGGGTGGTTCTCGAAACCCTCAGACGAGAAAAGTTGTTTGCAAAATTCTCCAAATGCGAGTTCTGGCTCCAGTGAGTATCCTTTCTGGGTCATGTGATTACTCAGGCAGGTATCGAGGTGGACCCTTCCAAGGTTTCAGCTATTCAGAATTGGTCAGCACCGAGGAGTCCGACCGAGGTTCGCAGTTTTCTCGGTCTAGCTGGATACTATCGCAGGTTCATCGAGGGCTTTTCCAAGATCGCCCTCCCTCTATCCCAGCTGACGAGGAAGTCTGTGAAGTTCGAATGGACTGACAGATATGAGTCGAGCTTTCAGGAGCTCAAGAGGAGGTTAACTTCAGCACCGGTGTTGACTATTCCCGATCCTTCTCGGAGTTTCACTATCTTCAGCGATGCTTCGAGACAGGGCTTGGGATGTGTCCTTATGCAGGACGGCCAGGTCGTTGCGTATGCTTCCCGTCAGCTTAAGCCGCATGAGCAGAATTATCCGACGCACGACTTGGAGTTAGCAGCAGTCGTTCATGCTCTCAAGATTTGGCGGCACTATCTTTACGGCGGTCACTGTGAGATTTTCACAGATCATAAGAGCTTGCAGTATATCTTTACTCAAAAGGAGCTCAACATGAGACAGCGACGTTGGTTAGAGCTCGTCAAGGATTACGATTGCTCTATTCAGTACCATCCGGGAAAGGCGAACGTCGTCGCAGATGCCCTAAGCCGTCAGGTGAGGGGCGATTTGACGTACGTCATTACTCAGCAGAGCCCGCTGATTCAAGAGTTTGCCCGGATGCAGCTTCAGGCGATTGATGCACTTCCCATAGAAGTTTCAGGGAGTACCAGTGCCAGTATCAGTGCTATGCAGCTTCAGCCGACGTTGAGAGAGAGAATCCGGCAAGAACAGGCTTCTGACGAGTTCGTTCGCGTCATGGAGGCCAAGGTTCGCGCCGGAGGCGTCGAGGGTTTTCAGCTAGGTGCCGATGGTGCCCTAGAGTTCAGGGGCAGGATCGTGGTCCCGAAGGTTTAGGCGTTGCGGAAGGAGATTTTATCAGAGGCCCATACCGCACCCTATTTGGCCCATCCCGGGAGCACGAAGATGTATCACGACCTGAAAGGGGCGTTCTGGTGGCGAGGCATGAAGAAGGATGTCGCCGAGTTTGTCAAGAGGTGTTTAACCTGTCAGCAAGTTAAAGCCGAGCATCAGAGTCCGATTGGCCTCCTGCAGCCACTTCCGATTCCGAAGTGGAAATGGGAGGAAGTCACGATGGACTTCGTTACGGGATTGCCGAGGTCGTCCGAACATCACGACGCTATCTGGGTCGTGGTCGACAGATTGACTAAGGTCGCGCATTTCTTACCCGTTTCGATGAGGATGTCCATGGATAAGTTGGCTGAGATATATGCCCGTGGGATCTTTCGACTCCACGGAGTGCCCGTCACGATTGTATCAGACAGAGATCCCAGATTTGTCAGTCGATTCTGGCACAGCTTGCATGAGGCGATGGGCACGAAGCTTGAGTTCAGTTCAGCCTACCATCCGGAGACAGACGGTCAGTCAGAGCGGACTATTCAGAGCTTGAGGATATGCTTCGCACTTTGGTTGTTGATAGGGGTGCTAAGTGGGAGTCGTTGTTGCCGTACGCAGAGTTCGCGTATAACAACAGCTATCATTCTTCTATTCAGATGGCTCCTTACGAGGCACTGTACGGTCGCAAGTGTCGTTCCCCTCTCTATTGGGACGACGTCGGAGAGCGACGAGTACTCGGTCCCCAGTTGATCGAGGAGACAGCGGATCAGGTTAAGTTGATCCGGCAGAGACTCAGGACAGCTCAGAGTCGTCAGAAATCTTCCGCCGATCATCATCGGCGAGACATTCAGTTTGAGGTTGGCGAGCCAACCTTTCTCAGAGTTCGTCCGTTTCGCGGAGTTGTGCGATTCGGAAAGAGAGGGAAGCTGCACCCTCGATTCATCGGTCCGTTCGAGGTTCTCGAACGAGTAGGCGAGGTCGCGTATCGTTTAGCCCTACCTCCCGAGTTATCCGGCATTCATAATGTATTCCACGCATCGATGTTGCGTAAGTACGTGTGCGATCCCGATCATGTTATTCCTCATTCAGATATCCAGGTTCAGTCAGATCTTTCGTACGAGGAGCGACCAGTAGCTGTTCTGGACCGACAGGTTCGTCGGCTCCGGAAGCGAGATATTCCCCTCGTGCGCATTTAGTGGGATCGCCACGGAGCTACTTGGGAGGAAGAGTCCGGTATTCGCGCTCGTTTTCCAGATTTTCAGTTTTGATGTGTTTCATGTATGTATTTTCAGTTATGATGTGTTTCATGTAATATCCCGACTTTTAATCAGTAATAATAATATTTTAGTTCCGATTTTATTTTTTTCGGAATTAATTATTTTCAGTTATTTCAGTTAAAATTACCGAAAAATATTTCCGACGTACCGTTTACGTTCGAAATAATTTTGTAATTAAGTATTATGCTTAATTGATTAATTAAGCAAGTCATGGTGATTAATTGAAAATTAATCATGAGATTAGTAGCTTTAGCCGTGCACTTATAAGTTCAATGGCCGTGTGCATGGTATAATTAGGTTATGGTAGAATGTTAGTAATTTTTTATCCCATTTCATGCTTTTGCCGTGCATTGTATGTTAAATGTCGTGTGGTGTGTTACCTTTGGTCCGCTCATGTGCAATTGCCGTGAGTTATGTGTGCATGTGTAGTCAAGAGATTCTCCCAACATCATGCTAGAAGACCGTGCACCATCTTTGTCTTTTCATGCCATGGGAAGTTTGCTCCATTTTGTCCTTACTCCTCCTTGTTTTTGCCGTGCATGTGTGTGTGGGAAATTGCTCAAGCATTTTGTCTTCATTTTGAGGCATCTTCACGTGAGTATGAGGGAGAAGAGATTGCATGGTGGCCACTTGTCTAGCCTTTGACCGTAATGTCCCCTCCCCTCCTAATGATTTTCGGTCCTTTGTTAAATGAGAGGCATTGGAGAAATTGTCCCATTTCCCTTCTTCTATTGTCAAGTGCCGAAAGCTTAGTGAGAGTTAGTGAGAATTTTTGTGAGTGTTGTGCGTGAGCATAGCCGAGAGTCGCACGCTACCGCACGCAACACCGCAAGGCGCACGCGCGAAGGGCCACGGCCGAGAGCTCGGGTGTTCGAAGAGTTTAGTCCGAAGGCTTAACAAGAGGTAAGTTCCCGTCGAATATTGACCGAGAGTAGCATGTTCCTTAAGTTAATTATGTTGGTGAGCCGTGCATGCGTGTTATGTGTGGGCAAGCCATAGCCGTACCATTTATGTCATGTTTCAAGTTATATTATCCGAACATTCTTGCATGACTTAGCTTTTAGGTGCAATATCATGTTTAAATTAACTTTAACGTTCGGATGATATTTCACGTTTGAAGTGTTTGGCCGAGGGTAACGTGGTTGCGCACGTAGCGCACCACGGGCCGTGCTTGCATGCTCAATATGTTAATTTAGTATTCTCCGAGTATTCTCGCATATTTAGCTTTTATGTGTAAAATCATGTTCAGTTTAACTTAAGTTTTCGGACGAATTTAGTCATGTTAGTGGGAGTTTGGTCGAAGAGGTGTGGTCGCACACATAGTGCGTACCACGGACCGCTCTCGCATGTCATTGCATGTTATGTTTAAACCTTCGACCATTATGAGTTATCATGTTCAGCAAGTCATGTTTAAGTTCATTTAAATTGGTACTGCCGAGAGATTATGTGATTCGGTCGAAGAACGGCACAACGCCGTCGGCGGTTGATACGGAAGTGGTCATCAACCCCGGTGAGTCCGACAATGATGATGGTGACAGTCTCGATATTTGGCTGGAAAACATGTTTGAGGCGCCATCTAGTCCGATTTATCGGCCATTAAGTGTACAAGATTGGACAATAGGTTGTGACCCAAAGCTGAAGTCA